CAGGCTGCACTCAGCTCACACTACCAGCCTATATCCCACGCCTCTAAGGGAGACTGCAAGTCAGGCATGGAGCAGCAAGGGGTATGCGAGCAAGAGTGGGGTCTGGCCACTGTGCAGTCAGACACGCTGGCTGCTGCCGTGAGGCTGGCAGTCTCAGGTGCCAGGTGGGTGCCAGCTGTCTGCAAGGCTGTGGCTGGATCAGGTGCACTGCAAGCCACTCTCCCAGCTGGCACCAGGAAATGCAGTGGCACCTGGAAGCTTGGAGACACCAGGAACCACAGCGCCACAAAGAGGAAGTCACAACCCTGGCTCGCGGAGCTCCCAGGTCTGGGCTCCCTGAAGGGCCTCACCTCTTCTCTCCTCTTTGCCCGCAACATGACGAGCAAGGAGCATGTTTCAGCCCTGTTTGCGTTATAACTCTTTTAGTCCCACCATTCGATGGGTCCCTAGTTCTTGTCCTGCAACCGGGAAGAAATGTATGCAGACAAATGAAGGGTGAGCAAGACAAAGAGGAGCCTTACTGAGCGATAGAACAGTCAGAGGAAACCGCAGTGGGTAGCTCCTTTCTGCAGCCAAGGTGTCCCAACAAGTGTCCTAGCAGAGAGACCCTGGAGTGGGAAGCTGTTCTCTGCTGGAAGGTCATCCTGTCTTCTCTGCAGCTCTCAGCAGAATGGAGGCCCTGGAATGGGTTACTCCTCTCTGTAGATGGTGGTCCCAACCTCTGCCCTGTTCTGGCTGAGCCCAGTCTCCTCTCTGCAGGCAGGTTGTCCCATCGTCTCCCCAGCTCTCAGCAGACAGGAGGCCCTAGCATAGGTTACTCCTCTCTGTAGATGGTGGTCCCGACCTCTGCCCTGTTCTGGCTGAGCCCAGTCTTCTATGGGCCTCAGAGGGGAGGAAGTGCAGGTAGACTGCTCCATGGCCAGCCATGGACAGGCCCAGAAATGGCACCACAAGTTCCCACTCCAGTGGGTGGGACTGGTATCCAGGTCTCCGGCCTTTAGGCCCTCCCTGAAGACCAGCACCAAGGTGCCCTAAGTACCCCCTTGGCTCCTCCATCTTCCCCCATGCTCATCAGGGCCCTAAGTCTGGAGGGAGCCGAGGCAGCAGGGAGCTGCGTACCCTATGTGTACACTCCCAGCCTGGGTGTGACAGCATCTGGGCTTGGCCCCACATTGCTCAGAGATCAGAGCCAGCACCAACAGCAGGCAGGAGCCAGGCAGCTGGAGCAGTCACTTCTGAGCCAGTTGAGGGGTGGAGGCAGGCCTTCCCATGTCTCTAGCTTATGGAGGCCCAGGTCCACAACCCTGACTTGGATGGCTACAGCCCCAGGCAGGGCTGCTGCCTGCTCCTGGCTCCCACTTGCTCTGTGGAGCATGCAGCCCTTGCCTCACCCCCTCCCAGCCTGGGGCAGGGGCTCCAGGTCCTCATGGATCGGTGTCCGGGCAGGGTAACATCACCATGAGCTCCCCCTGTTGCCCTGGCACTTCAGGGGCAGTCTGGGGCAGAGTGGATCACGGGCCTGGGCCAGGCCATCAGAGTGTCAGGCTCAGTGGTCACCACGATGTGGAGCAGACCCAAGGAGGTAGCCCCAGACGGCCTGCACAAAGCCTCCTCCTGAAGCACAGGAACCTGGCACCGTTGGCAGGGTGGGCACAGTGGCTGCACTGCTGGCCAGGTCCCTGAAGTGGGGGCTGCTCCCACTTCCTGCCCTGGGACCCTGAAACGTGGCCCCAGCTCTGTGCCCAGGCCCGGCCCTGGGCTCCCTGTGCAAGCGTTGCACTGCCCCAGGCCCAGTTCCGCTTCGGGGCTTCTGTCTGCCCTACCGAGCTGCCCTCCTGCCGCTCTGCTCCTCTGATGGTGGGTAACCCAGCCAGCCCCGTGGGGCGGCCCCCAGGGCAGCAGGCTGTGGAGGGGCTGTCTGCCTGCTCCCTGCACCCTCCCTGCAGTGGCCAACCACTGTCATCAATAGTAAACACTCAATAAATGGTCATTTGTAAAAGGAAGATAACTCACTAAGAAATTTAGAGAGTAACAGTAGGCAAAATTGATTTACAAAAGAATGGGAGACAACTCTAAGAGCAGAAAAGTATTTTCTTCAATTTGCTGCTGATCCTACTGTCCCCCTTCATTTATCCTTTAAGATCCCAGATCAAGTACCACCTCCTCCGTGAAGCCTTCAGATTACCTCAGCCAGAAGTGATCACTTCCTTTATTTTTTACTTTGGTGGCAAAATGTTAATATTTTTAATCTCTTTGGTATTACAATTACTATGTCAGTTGCCTTATAACGCAGCTTCCTGAAAAAGCAGGGCCTCATCTTTGTTTTAAATCTCTCCTTACACTTAGCATGGAATGTTGCATGTAGACTCTGATTGCATGAATGAAACGCCATCAAGTCATAAAGTTTGGTGGGTAGCAGCCCACGAGCAAGGTTCTCCTGAATAGATTTGCCATTGTTTTCATGTATGTGTGTGTGTATGTGTGTGTGTGTAGGGAGAGCCTAAAGTGTAGGAGTGGATTTATTCACAATTGAGCTCATTGATACCTTTCCTTAAGAGCCAAATAGTTTATGTTTCATTGCCACAGTTATCATCAAAGGTAATATTCAAAATGGAGGATGAAGAGTGCTAGGACTTTTTTCTTTCTTTCTTTTTATGTTTCTCTCTTTTGCAGCAGGGGGTAGCTATTGGAGGAGAAAGACTAACGAATAAGGGAAAGGATGCATCTTTTTTTTTGAAATGCAGGTAGGAGTTATGGATAACTCCCAAGTACCTGTACAAATTGAAAATGATTAACTTTGCTACTCCTGAAAAAAATTTTAATCCCAAAGTCATTTATTTTGGCTTTAGAATAGACTAGCATTTGTGTCGGATTTTCCTGCCTAATTACTTTTTGCTTAAGCTTATTTAAAAATTGTTTTAAATTCCTTTAGTATGACAGCCTAGGAAAGTTGGGGGAGGAGAAACAGGCCACAGATGGGATCTGAACTAGAGTTTCAGTTCTCCCATGTCAAGGCCTCCTGATGTACTGCTTGCAGGAGGGCAAAGTTGGAGTCAGCTTTGTGGAAACCAATTTGGCAAAATAATTTTAAAAGTCTTGAAAATATGCGTACCCTTTGATCCAGTAATTCCACTTCTAGGAATTTGTCCTAAGGAAATAATCAAGCATGCAGAAATATAGGGACAAGGATATTCACCACAACATTTATAGCAGCAAAAGAAAGTAAAACCACCAGAAAATATTGAATAATATGGAATTGATTAAAGTATGCTGTTAAGCTGCACATGTTTTCAAAATTACAGACTTTAAAAATGTTTACCACATCTTTTTAAGTGAAAAAGAAACTGCAAAATAGTATGTTCAGTTTGAAACGACATCTAGATATAGAGGTGGATGGATGGATGGACAGACGGAGATACATATTCTGTAGTGTTAATTTTGGTATTGCTGAGTAGTAAAATTGGGATAGTTTTGTACTTTTTTGTGTTTTTCACATTTTCTGCTTAAGCATGTATTACTTTGTAATTAGAAAAAAAAACTATCATTTTTAAAAGAATGTATGGTTAATAGATCAATGAAAAAGTAAGTTACTACATAATACCCACAAAGTGGGTAATCTGAATGCAAATAATTTCTATTAAATGTAAGAGTCACATCCATACATGTGAGTTATAAGCAATCATACTGCATATGTAAAGTTGGATGTGCCTTAATTGTGATTTAACTTTATTGTTTCCCAAGTAAAATAACCATATTCAATAAAAATCTGTGAAGGCACAGTTTGATTATAATTTGCATGTCTCCTGTTTTCTGATACCCCACTCTGGAGGCAGACTCTTCTTGAGCCAAGAGAACCACAGTTTTGCAAAGCTGCAGAGACCAGTAGGTTTTTTGGGAATTACATGTTAAAACATTTTGATTGCCCAAATAACATTATAAAAATACTGGGGGCCGGGCGCGGTGGCTCAAGCCTGTAATCCCAGCACTTTGGGAGGCCGAGGCGGGTGGATCACGAGGTCAAGAGATCAAGACCATCCTGGTCAACATGGTGAAACCCCGTCTCTACTAAAAAAATACAAAATATTAGCTGGGCATGGTGGCGCGTGCCTGTAATCCCAGCTACTCAGGAGGCTGAGGCAGGAGAATTGCCTGAACCCGGGAGGCGGAGGTTGCGGTGAGCCGAGATCGTGCCATTGCACTCCAGCCTGGGTAACAAGAGTCAAACTCTGTCTCAAAAAAAAAAAAAAAAAAATACTGGGAACATTTGAAATCATTCTTGATCTTCAGAAGGCAATTTCCAGTGACATTTTGGCTGTTTCCCCTTTATCTCTTCATTATCATCAACTCAGAACTTCAAATCCAAAGATCTAAACAGGTAAAGGGGAGAAAGTGGATGGTAAATGATGAAGAAACATAAACCTTTGGTGACCCCAAAATAACCCTTGGCTCACATATTAAAGAGCTCTGCTTTATATGATCAGCTGCAGGAGAAATTTGTTCTTTACTGTTTGCAAACTTCAGCTCTGTACACATGATAGGGTTCTCTTTTATTTGCAGTCCCTAAATTCCTGGGATACCATATGGCTTCACTGAAGGAAAGGGCTTGCAGGTCTGGCTCCCTGTTGTCTGAGTTCAGTTGGAAAAGCCTTTTGTGATTAACTCGGCCACAGTGTGTCCTTTGGTATTTGGAACTTCAGTGGTTGTTTATTAATTCGCCAACTTTTGAACACTGACCCAAATAAGCTTCATATAATGGAAAAAGAAGAGAAGTCTAGCTCTTCGGGTCCCAGATTGAATCCCAGTTTTCCGACTAGCTGTGACCTTGAGCAAGTTGACTCAGTATGTCAGAGTTTCAGTTTCCTCACTTAATTTGGAGAATTGTGCCTTCCTGACTCACCTCTTAGGGCTATTCTTGGTAAACTGTAAAGCCCTGTAACAGTGAGGGACAGTTGTGGGTCTTTATAAACACACCACCTTCTCCTACTTTGTTTCTGACACAGTTTTCTTACGCCACCCCACCTCCCCAAGAACCCGTGAAGACACTGAGAAGCCTGGTCAATATCCGAAAGGACACACTGAGGCTTGTCAGGTAAGTTCCCGGAGGCTGGGGCCAGGTCCCAGGCACCTTCCTTTGTGGGAGGTTGGGGGCTGAGGGACAGACTCCCCAGGGAACTCACACAGCAGTTTCCGGCAGCCCTGGAGCCTGCTTCTCCAGGCATCAGGCAGGAGTGTGGGTGCTACTTTCTGCTGAGATCAGGCTGTCCACACCCATGTTGTTAGCACTGGATGCAATGCTCTGTGTTTGTGAAGAACTTTCACTTGCCTAGAAATGCTCATTATCTTTATTTTATGGATTTTTTTTAAAGGGAAGAGGAGTTATTAAGGGAAAATGGGAATTTTTGCAGCTACTCCAGCAAGCCAATGTAAAAATGGGAAATTTGAACTTAGAATATCAAATCCTTTATTTAATTGCTTATATTTTCTTTTTTATTCCCCATCTCATGTGTCTGTTCTCTGAGGAACTCATAGTGCCCTGGGTTGATCGTTTAATCCTCATCATCAATGTTAATTATCATCATTTGCCTTCTTGGTGCCCTCCTCGAGATAGTGTAATTTTTAATCTGATGCATTCCCATCACCTGCCACCCCTAGACAGTTCATCTACTAAGGCTCTCTGATTCCCTGGGGAAAAAATTTGGTTAGGGCAAATCAGAGGTCCCAGATTTTTCTGAATAGACAAGGAAGATGACTCAGAGACCATCTCATGCTTATATAGATCAGCCTTATTAGCATTACGATATTGCCGTCTGATTTTTTTTTTTTTTTTTTTTGAGACAGAGTCTTGCTTTGTCACCCAGGCTGCAGTACAGTGGCACAATCAGCTCACTGCAGCCTTGACTTCCCAGGCTCAAGCGCTCCTCCCAACCCTAAGTAACCATTAATCTATTTTCTGTTTCTATTAATTTTTTATATTTTATCTGTCCCTGAAGTTTTTACTGGTTCCCCAGCTACACTTCTCTCCACCCCAGGGTCAACTCTGGGGAGGAGAGAGCCAAGGAGGTACCTGTCTGCTGCAGAACAGTCCCCCCACCTCACCCACGGGAGTTCCTCCAGCAGCCGAGCAGACTAACAAGGCCTCTGGGGTCTGCCAGCTGCCAGCTATTCCATCCACTTGGTTTCTGTCATCACATACGGCATGCTTACACATTTGATGGAGACCATTCAAGGGTCTGAGCTGCTGTGAGGTCCTAGCCTCTGCCGTGGCAGCCAGGCCACAGCTCTAGAGTAGTGTGAAGGAGCTGTCATGTGCTAGAAGAACCAGACTTGGAAGCAGCAGAGCCATTTGCTTCCCAGGTCCACAGATGCTTGCTTGAATAAGTGTCTGAGCTTCAGGTTTTTTAATCTGTAAAATGGTGATAATCAACTTTACCTTTAATGGTTGTTGTCAAAATTAAGAGAACAAAAGGGAAAACACTGACGTTCGATAAATGTTAAATTGAAGGGTGTTCTTTGTTTTGTTTTTCTGTGATTATGGAAATAAATTCTGATTCTCAGATTTCCAGGTAAAGATGGAGGATTGAACACCTACTTTTGCTTCCTCTCAAAACCCCATTAAGTAATAATAAACATATATTTAAATGGCATAAATCTGGCCAGGCACAATGGCTCACACCTGTAATCCCAGCACTTTGGGAGGACAAGGCGGGCAGATCACCTGAAGTCAGGAGTTTGAGACCAGCCTGGCTAACATGGTGAAACCCCATCTCTACTAAAAATACAAAAATTAGCCAGACATGGTGGCACACGCCTGTAATCCCAGTTGCTCCAGAGGCTGAAGCAGGAGAATTGCTTGAACTGAGAGGCAGAGGTTGCAGTGAGCTGAGATTCTACCACTGCACTCCACCGGAGTAAGACTCCATCTAAAAAAAAAAAAAAAAAAAAAAAAGCATAAGTCTCTAAGTATGTGTTTGGAGAATGGGAAAAGAGCAACAGCAACAAGCTTTTAGAAGCTGCAAACACAGAGTGAATGTTAAATGACTTAGTAGACCCAGGAAATCAGAATCCTGAGCTAGCAGAAAGAAAAGCTGAGAAATTACCCAATTTATACTGTGATATTATCCCCCAAAGGGTTCAGAAATTAACAGTACCAGGTCCCTCTAGGAGTTGAGGTGGAAAGCTAAAATGAAGAGGATTGGTGGACAGTCTGCCCATGAGGTAGGCAGATCCCCTCCCTTGTACCACACAGCCAGAACTACCTTCCTCCACCCTGGCAAAAGGCAGGCAGATGACTCTCCTTGGAAAGTTTGAAACAGAGAATCTCTGGAATAGAGAGACCCAGGCACGGCTAAGGGCCAGACTCAGTGCGAAAAACAGGCTGACCAGCCTGGGCAACATGGTAAAGCCCTGTCTCTGCAAGAAATACAAAAATTAGCCTAAGCATGGTGGTTCACACCTGTAGTCCTAGCTACTTGCGAGGCTGAAGTGGGAGGGTCACCTGAGCCCAGGGAGGTTGAGGCCTCAATGAGTCACTATCATACCACTGTACTCCAGCCTGGGTAAGAGTGAGAACCTATCTCAAGAAAACAAAACAGGGTAAGTGGATCCTGGCATACTGGGTGTTGAGCCCCCTAGCTGCCTCTCCACTCTGCCCCTAGAATGCTGGCAGCCAGGCCTTTATCAAGAGAAAGGAAAACTGTTTTCTGGAAATTGGACCTACCTGGATAGGAAAACCTGAGACTACAGTTGGAGGTTCCTCAGCAGATCCAGGTCAGCCCACAGTGAAGCCCAGGGTCCCCAAGTCCTGCTGTGCACTCAGAACTCTAATCAGCAGTTTAAATACCTTAAATATAAGCAGACAGCCACAGATTCTTAGATGTGTAAGGAATGGCTATAATAGGAAAGACAGTGGCAAAACAAACAAATGTTTTAAAACGACCCAACTAGGCCAGGTATGGTGGTTCACACCTGTAATCCCAGCACTTTGGGAGGCCAAGGCAGGAGGATCACCTGAGCCCAGGAGTTTGAGACCAGCCTGGGCAACATAGTGAGACCCCCATCTCTATATAAAATAATAATAAAGTAAAAAAAAAAAAAAAAAAAACATTTAATTGGAAACAGAAACTATGCAGGAAGAAGAAAACTTCATTAATAGTTTCAGAGACATGAGAGAAGAAATCTCAATGACACAAAGTGTTTATGAACCAAAAACAATAGCTTTTAGAAATTAAAAACAAGGAGGCTGGGCGCAGTGGCACACGCCCATAATCCCAGCCTTTGGGAGGCCAAGGCGGGCGGATTGCAAGGTTAAGAAATCAAGACCATCCTGGCCAACATGATGAAACCCCGCCTCTACTAAAAATACAAAAATTAGCTGGGCATGCTGGCACGCACCTGTAGTCCCAGCTACTCAAGAGGCTGAGGCAGGAGAATCGCTTCAACCAGGGAGGCGGAGTTTGCAGTAAGTTGAGATTGCGCCACTGCACTCCAGCCTGGTGACACAGCAAGACTCTGTCTCAAAAAAAAAAAAAATTAAAAATGAGCAGAAATGAAAATTTCAATAGAATGGTAGGAAGAAAACTTGAAATATTCTAGAAAGTAGAGCAAAAATCCAGAGAAAAGTAAAATAGAAGAAGAAAGATACAGGTAATAGAGCACCCATTTAGAAGGTCTGACATTCAACTAACGGGTTCTACAGAGAAAAGAGAATATAAAAGGAAGGAAATCGGGCTGGGCACAGTGGCTCATGCCTGTAATCCCAGCACTTTGGGAGGCCTAGGCAGGTGGATCACAAGGTCAGGAGATCGAGACAATCCTGGCCAACTCAGTGAATCCCCATCTCCACTGAAAATACAAAAAAATTACCTGAACGTGGTGGCTTGCACCTGTAGTCCCAGCTACTCAGGAGGCTGAGGCAGGAAAATCGCTTGATCCTGGGTGGCAGAGGCTGCAGTGAGCTGAGATTGTGCCACTGTATTCCAGCCTGGTTACAGAGCAAGACTCCACCTTAAAAATAATTTAAAAAAGAAATCATCAATGACATAGAATTTAAGAAAATTTCTCGGGACGCCGCCAAAGAAGCATCGTTAAAGTCTCTCTTCTCCCTGCAATCATGTCTAAGTCAGAGTCTCCTAAAGAGCTGGAACAGCTGAGGAAGCTCTTCATTGGAGGGTTGAGCTTTGAAACAACTGATGAGAGCCTGAAGAGCCATTTTGAGCAATGAGGAACGCTCACAGACTGTGTGGTAATGAGAGATCCAAACACCAAGCGCTCCAGGGACTTTGGGTTTGTCACGTATGCAACCGTGGAGGAAGTGGATGCAGCCGTGAATGCAAGGCCACACAAAGTGGATGGAAGAGTTGTGGAACCAAAGAGAGCTGTCTCAAGAGAAGATTCTCAAAGACCAGGTGCCCACTTAACTGTGAAAAAAATATTCGTTGGTGGCATTAAAGAAGACACTGAAGCCGGGCGCGGTGGCTCAAGCCTGTAATCCCAGCACTTTGGGAGGCCGAGGCGGGTGGATCACGAGGTCAAGAG